AACTAAGGTAGACTTAGAGCAAAATGCCCCCATAGCTCAGTAATCAGCACACTCTCCTGAGAGACAGTAGACCCCCTTGCTCAAATTCCTTCTGCACTCTCGGAGGTAGAAATTTAAGCTGGGTTTTCCAGTTCCTAGGCAAATCTATTGCTGTACCAACCAAACGTCCTGTTTTTCACGGGTGGGCAATACTTTTTGGCCAGGAGCCACTTCAACATTTTTTGAAGTGGCCCTTGGCTGCCCCAGAAGGGGCAGGATGCTTCCAGGCTTCCCCACCCACAGACCATGATTGGTCTGGGGGTGGGGGAGCCCCTTTGCCCCCCCCTTCTCACTAAGCACCCATGCCCCTGGCAGGGCAGGAAGAGGCTTTGTACACTCCCCCTCCCCCAGGCCAATTAGGGCCTGGGGGCAGGGGAAGTGCACTAAGTTTCCTCCGCCCTGCCAGGAGCATGTACAACTTTGAAGTGCGCTCCCTTGTCCCGTAGCTCTGAGGGTGGGAGAGCATGCAAAGCCTCCTCCTGCCCTGCAAGGAGTGCGTGGCAATCTGAAGTGCTGTGTGCACCTCGCAGGGCAGAGGAAACTTTGCACACTCTTCCTGCCCCCAGGCCAAACAGGGCTTGGGGGCGGGGCAACGCATGTAGTCTCCTCCCGCCCTGCCAGAAGCGCAGGGCACTTCAAAGTGCTACCTGCCCTGGACAGGAGGGAGGAAACTTGATGCGCTTCCCCCGCCCCCAAACCCTAATTGGCCTGGGGGCAGGGGAACAGCAGGGCCTCCACAGGCTGGATCTGTCCTGCAGAGGCCCTTTTGCCCACCCCTGCTGTTATGAATTGTAAGCAGAGACAGACACAAGAGTCAGGCTGAAGAGAAACACCTATTTCCATGAGTGGGGAAGCATTTACTCCACGTTTCTTCTCAGCATTTCTTATTGGCTTGCATATGCAGCTCTCCATCTCACATGCTGAGTTTTCTGGATCATATTCTTAGGCACCTATGTGTCACCATTTATTGTATAGGAGTCTTAAGTGTCTAACTTCGCTTTGTAGATTGCAGTGTTGTTTTTTGTGATTGTCTAGCCATCTAAAATTTAGATGGCTCTAAATATCAATACTATAATACCCATGTCCCTTTGTGGGTCCCACAATAAACGTGAAGTCTCTTCTGACCCTCAAGATGTTGAAAGGGAGAAGTTTTATTTCTTTCCCTCATGCCACTGCCCTCTTGGGGAGATCTTTCCCTTCAAATATTTTTATCCAGAACCTTCTAGCCATTGCACAGGTAACAGATTTTCTCTCTTACCTGACCCCAAGTTGTTTGTGCATGCTACTCCCACATATTATGAGTCACAACTCATAAGCAGCAAAAAAAGCTGCATAAAATGGACATGATTCTTGACTTTCCCATCATTACTCAGTGTTGCGAACAGCAGCAATGAAAGTTACTAGTCTCGTTCTTTCATTCTGTTGCTGCTCTTTGCAAAGCTATGAGCAGAAGCACTCCAGCTGAGTGGAAACTAAGGAGAGAGGATTCTTTACATTATGAAGATTTTTTGAGATCATAAGGATTAGAATTTTATGTTTTCTTTTAAAAATAAATCCTGTAGAAATGAAAGCTTCCTACATGGAGGAAGAAAGGGGGCAAATGGCTTGTTAAAGCTTTTCAAACACATGTCAAAAATATTTTTTTATCTGAGCCTCTGGCATACTCTAATTGGAACGAATTACAGAGAAAGGCATTAGCTTGACAATTTACCATCATTTAACATTTTCATAGCATCAGAAGAAACAAACCTGACAACAGATGCAGAATAGAGGTAGCATTATATTTAAGAAACTCTTCATTAAAACTTTCTAAGTCTTTGTTGAAGATTTTCTGCATTTCTTGAGTTAAGACCTTGTTCACAATTTCAGGGAGATTACTATGATCAGATACTAAAAAGGAGAAACACAGAAAGTTACTGTTGCTGCCATTCTTAGTAATATACCACTTTAGCGCATGTACACGCACACTTTTAGTTGAAAATCGGTACTACAAATTTCAATATTTTACTATCTTTGATTTTCAACAAAAACCAACAGGCTTCAATAGATTCTGATGAAATTCTGAACACGTAGTACATAAATAATGCAGTTTTTTGCCACGTGTATCTATTTTATTTTAAATATATTAGTGTTTGTATAGCATTTAGACTTTTACATCTACTGCTGTTTCACTGTACGTACCACATTTAGAAAATTTAATCAAACATTCATGTAGCCACGGGTTATTACTGTTGATAGCAAAAGCTCTCTTGACAGACTGCAACATTAATAGAAATTTTCCTGGGCAAAAAAGAACACAAAACCAAGGTTATATACTTTAAACTGTTCTATCACTTTAAATTTCATTGCAGACAACTACCCAAATCCTTCACTTTCTCAAACATACTCAGATGCCAAAAACCTTTAGATTTAGTTAAATTCAGTTTCTAAAAAGAGGAGAGTAAAAATGTGTGCGCTTTTTTCTTTAATGTGTTTTTACAACAAAATGACAATAGCAATATTTTCTGAAAAATCATGTAAAAGTGTAATATTGAGATGTCTAGCTTTTACAGGAAGTAGTGTCCCCAAATCCTTTGTACTTTTATTAATAAATCTAAAGCACTAAATCGTATGCATAATTGTCTCTTCTGTACTCTCAATACCTAGTTATAACATACATACAGTGAAACCTTTGTTATCCGGAAATCTGTTCTGTACTCTCAATACCTAGTTATAACATACATACAGTGAAACCTTTGTTAACAGATTTCCGGATAACCCGCATTGCCCCCAGCCATAATATTGTCACATCTTCAGGTGCACAGGCCTGGCTTGGTTTACCATGATTGGCTTAATTTTTTATTTAAGAAGTACTAATCATCTTTAGCTCAAAACAGAAATGAGACACCAACTGCCTCATACTACAAAACTACCAATATTAAAAACTTGAGTTTTTACTATTATTGTCAATTGGCTTTTCCTAAGTTGATGGAACCCTAAGATAACCAGAATGTTTAGATATCTGGCATGCTCGGGGACTAGGGCGCTCTGGTTAACACAGGTTTTACTGTATACGACATTATGGCAGCCCCTGACTTTATTCTATTATAAAAGAGGTGCTGTTTATTATTAGAGTAAACTTCCGATAATCCGGCACCTTTAAGACCCAGGGGGTGCCGGATTATCAGATATGTCGGACTATCGGAAGGGGGGGGGCAATGAGGGGTCTGGAGTGGGGTGAGAGGGGATGCCACCCCAGACCCCTCATAGCCCCCCCTACGATAGTCCGGCTCTGCCCCAGGCGTCCCTGATTCAGCCGCTGCTGGTCTG